ATATATACTATTAACAGACACACCTACATATACATTTAACCCTCATATATATATAATTATCATATATATATATATATATATAATGTATATAAATATTACATACAGCACATACATACACGACACATACAATATTACATTTACTTACATATATATATATATACATATATATATTATGTATGTATGTAATGAAATATACTATTATGATATATATTATACATATATATATGTATGTATGTATTACTATATGTGAATATATGTTATATATACATATATACATATATATACACATATGTATACATATTATTTGTACACATATGAAATTATTATATACACTGTATGCATATTATATAACCTATGTATCTATTATATATTTATTTATTTATTTATTATTTATTGTATTTATATATATATTTGTTTTTATATATTATTTTAATATATATATATATTGTATTTATATATTATATATTTATATATATATATACATTTTATTTTAGTGAGTTATTTATTTATTTATATACTCTCGATATATATGGGTGATATTGAATAATTTATATTTATAGTGGCATACATTTTATCTAATATTTTAATAATATTATATATATATTTATAATAATATATTATATTTATTACTAATATTATATATATACGTATATATATTAATATATATATATGTATAAATTATGTTTATTACTATATTTGTTATATTTATATAATAGATTATATATATATATATATATATATATTATTTTGGTATATAGATTACATATATTATATTCTATACATATAGTGAGTACATTTACTTAGTATAGGTATATATATATATATATATATATATTCTATATTATAATATATATACATATATTATATGTATGTGTATATATATATATAACTATTATATAGTGAAGATATATATTATTTTTAGAGATATTATAAATATAGATATTATATATATATAGACTAGATTATATATATATACTGTATTTGTAATGATATTGATATAGATACGTATATATGTATATATTATAGTAAACTCACTACGATATATATCATGAGAATGATATTGAAGATATCTTATTGATATATATACTTAGTATAGATTTAGTAATTATATATGAAATATGATACTATATATATATAATAATATAGTGAATAATAGTAGTATATAGATATTTTATATTGATATATTGTGATTGAATATTAGATAGAGTGTTAGAATATTATCTCTATATATAATTGATGAATGTGAAGATATAGATAGTATAATATCAGAGTATAAGTAAGTAAGTGATATATAAGAGAGATATATATATATATATATTTATAAACTATATTATATTCATATATTTATATTTATAAGATGTGAATAGATAGTATCATGAATATGAGATAGTATTATAGATATGAACTCGGATAGATATATGAGAGATGATATTGAGAGATGATATAGATTATATAATAGAGTAAGATATTTAGAGTATGAAAATGGAGTGATATATAGATATGTAGGTGAGTATTTATATATTTATATTTTATATTCAGAGAGATGTAGTTAGAGAATGTGAAGATTTATAATAAATAGGATACAGTGGTAATTTATTGATATATTATATATATATTGATAGTAGATCAGAGATGACAGAATGAGACAGAAATTATATAGATGTGAGAGAGAATAAATTATAAGTAAAATAGATATTGAATATATATATGAGAGAGATAATAGGTATATTCTAACCTATTATATACACTATTTAGTAGCTATAGTTTTAATTATATAAGATAAATATGTAGTATATATATATATATATATATATATATATATATATATAAATATGATATTATATATAGATATAGATTAAACATACAGATATATTCAAACCCTCACAATATAATATAATATTATATATAATCTATATATTGAATATTAATCAATATACACGCACATCACTCACAGATTATATAACTCACATCTACACATATAACAACACACCCCTAACTCGAGTCAATCACTAACCCACGCTCCTCAGTGTCTCACTTATTGTTACTACAACACACCCTATATTTTTACTTTCTATTATTTGATATAGGTTATTAAGTATAGATGATTCTTATAGTATAATGGTTGTTCTATGTATGTATTGTGTTATGTATACATATGGTGATGCCTCTACTATATATATGTGTATATACACACACGTTGCATATGACACATATTATGCCGTATTCAATTTCCATAACTTCAGTCCTATTATGTAAGTGGCATTGGGGAACCTCCCCAAAAGACCCCTGCTACCACCTACCCACATTTGTACTCATGCACGGCGATGTCGTAGGCGCCCTATCCCAGTTTATGAGCTCTGCAAGCTGCTTAGGGTGTTATCCATCGTGCTAAAACTCTCATGTAATTTAGAGGCATCTGACTACCACCAGGCAGGGACTTAGAGTATAGAGCAGAGTGCGCTTTTTAAAAGTGCTGAAGTGATTGTGACTCGCTAGACAAATGAACAATTTGTGCTGTGTTTATATGATTGTGCAGTTCTTGTGCTGCGTTGAGAAGATTTTTTCAAATGATTCTGGTGGTACTCTCTGTGTCCTCAGAAAGAGAAATATCACATGTAGGCATGTTGCAATCTAGGAAAAAGTTACCGCAAGTGTTGTAGTGGTGTATTACAAACCTTGCATTTTTTTTTTTTTTTTCTTTTTTTGTGTTATTTCCATGTCTTTTGATGAGAATATCCGAGAGTGATTTGTAGTGAATAGGTGGTCGTATTAATAAGTCAGATAGGACTGATTTTTATTATGCTAGTGTGTATGGATAAATGCGCTCTTATGGTGATCCTAATTTTGTAATGTGATGTACTTATTTGTTGTGTCAATGATTTGTCATAATATACGAAATGAACATTTGTTAGAAGAATATATAAGTTTTAGTCAAAATTGAAAGACATCAAATAATGTCCTGTTATACCATTATTAGTAGATTCTGGAGATATTAGTCAAGTTATAAAGTGTTTGGTATCTTACCTGTCTCTTCCTTGGGGGCAGGTTTTTTTTGTCCTTTGTCTCATTACTTTCTCTCTTTATGCGTGCATACTATCGATAAGTAAGATTGAAAATTATCAGCGATGTCTCAGTGTAGAGATAAAGTGTATTTACAGTTGAAGAATCTAAAGATTCAGAAACTGTATACTCAACTCAATAACAGGAACATTTTCCTTTTTGTGATATGTTATGGGAAATCTTTCCCCTTGTGGAGAGTTATGAGAAGTGTTATACGATATAATGGTTCTTTAAAAAAAAAAAAAAAGTCATGTTTTTTATGTAAGGTTAGTGCATTTTTAAAGAAAAGAAATCACCCCCAAAAAAGAAAGAAAGACAGACCTAAGTTGCTTATTTGAATTAGTAAGAAATTGTTGTTTCATTCATACATTTACAATATTCATCTGTCTTCTCTTTTTTTTCTCTCTTTTTTTTTAGCAAGTTTCAGGAACATTAAAGTTTTGATACAAGTAATCCAGTTATGGAAGTGAGACAGTGCCATGAAATGAATTCTCTTTACTAAGGAAAATACTTACTAAGAGTCTGATTATTATTTTATTTGCACCTTTTAACAAGGATGATTCTCTCATTGAAATTCAAATTGCTAATGCCAGCAACTTTCATTGCAGAAGATACGCAGCGAAGGGAGTTTTGATTTACCATGTACGGAGGCCAAAAAGACTGTAAATAGGAATCTAAATCGATATAGAGATGTTCTTCCATACGACCACACCAGAATAAAACTAAGTGGAACCAATACAAATTATATTAATGCATCACTTGTTCAGGTAAGTATTTGTTCTAATATGATTGGATTTTCATGTATGTGTGTATGAATTGGTGAAACGTAAAAAGAAAAAAAATGGCTTGTATATAAGATCTAGAATATAATACATCAAGAGGATAAGAAATGCATTTGTCACTTAATTTATGAATCTTTTTGTGGATAGGGCCCTGTATGTATGAGTGTATTTATATATGAGGTGTGTCAGAAAAGTTCCAGGACTGACATCATAAAAGCATAAAAGATATGAGGGGGATCATGCACCATGAGTTCTTAACACGGGGCCATACGATTAAACAACGTGTCAACAAAGAGATACTGCAGGATTTGCTAAGTTCATTGTGTGCAAAGAAGTGAAGAGTTGTGACAGGACAACTCGTGGCTGCTTCACCATGACAACATGCCTGCTCACAATGCCCTGAGCATCTGACAGTTCCTGGCCAAGAAGAGCATCGCCATGCTGGAGCAACCTCCCTACTCCCCCGACCTGGCTTGGTGTGATTTTTTCCTCTTCCCCAAGCTCAAAGGTCATCAGGGTGACCCGTTTTGAAGACGTAGATGACATCAAAAGGGCCGTGACAACGGAACTGCGGAAGATAGGGGAAGAATCCTACCAGGAGTGCATGCAAGTATGGCAGGGTAGGATGAGAAAGTACATTAAACTCCAGGAGGATTACTTTAAAGGGGAAAACTCTTACTGTGAAGTTTGGGTTTGAAATAAATATTTTGCGACATCAGTCCTGAAACTTTTCTGTCACATCTCGTATGTATGTTTTTATATATGTATATGTATATCTGTCTATCTACATATCTACACACACACACACACACACACACTCATTGCTAATTGAAAGTAATGCCAAAGATGAATTTGCCAAAAGACTTGCAAATGTGACTCAAAATTGCATTTTATTCACCAGGTGGAATCTGTTGGCCGGTCATATATCCTAACACAAGGGCCCTTAGCACAAACTACACCACACTTCTGGCGCATGGTATGGCAGGACAAGGTCAAAGGAATTATTATGCTCAACAAAATAATAGAAAAGAATCAGGTAAGAAAATCTATATAAATTTTTGTTATTTACTTGTTCCATCACTGCAATTTATTTATTTATCCCCTGCCCCCCTTCCTTGTAAATTGTATATTGTTTGTTGCAGTTGTAAAAAATTTTCT